GTTTAATTGCTGTACTGAGGTGACTGATAACAATGACCAAGCAGCATTAATTTTTGCATAGTACTGCAGTGCCCCTAAAATTGGAGAATATCGAAGTTCTCTGATAGCATTGTGATTCATTTGTGAATAAACATCACTACTCTTTTTGAGTAGCATAGCAATGACAGAGTTGGTTTGATGTATGACAAAAATGGAGCCGCTTTTTTAAACCTGTACTATAATCAGTACCGCCGGAAGCAGTTTTTGATTGGTCCATGGCCTTTTATACTTTGTGTGTGATATGGCGGGTACACACGTCCTCCACAGCAGGAAACATTTGTTGGTGGCCAACCAGACCGGTTCCAGCGGGCCTGATAATTGTGGGGGTCATGAGCAGCTCAAGTACTTTGCATGGTTTTGGATATGTCCTCAGTTGAAACCGACTTCCCCAAGCGTTCTCTGAGGGGACCTCCGTCTACTCTATCAGTTCATGTATTCTGTGAAGTGACATGACCATTCGTGGGGACCTTGCTCATAACTGCAAAAGTCCTCGTCTGATTTTTCCGAATCAATTGAACGTTGTACATGTGCATGTAGTGAAAGCCACATGCAAAATGCTGTTCCATGACACTCATTTGCCACCAAGCGCTGGGTTCATTGGCTGAAAATATTCTTCGGCACAGTAAAGTCGTGCGCCCAAGAGCGTGGAAGCCTAGAACATCCAGCCTGAAATACTAAGAACACCACAGCCCAAAATTAAGAATTGCGGTGCTGGGTTTGTGCTGTTGTAAAACACGGGGATTGTTATTGATTGTTATGTTGTACATGTATTTGAGCTTTACCACTACATACACAATACTCAATCTGAGGACAACATGCGGTTTCGCTCATCAATGCAGCACAGAGAAAATGAGGCAGATGAATGTCCTGCTAGAGAGCATCGAATACTGTAAGACATGTTATTATAACGATTGTCCAAAATTCATAGGTTATTAAACGAGAAGATATGTTTAACGACCTCGAGGTATTCCGGCATATCCACACACAACATAATGAAGCAGTATGGCCTCAACGGATCTTATTATAACGAAGAAATGTCATCCGTTAAAAAGCGTTAGATTTACTTCCTCGTTATAATTATATACATGTCTTATTACAGTACAGGTATAGAATCATGCCTTGCAGATCTCGTTACGGCCCCTTCGATGCATGTTTGAACCAGGGAGTAGTACAATACCGGTATTGTACTACTCCCTGGTTTGAACATTAGATGGCTGTGTAGCTTCAGTTATCTCGGAATATGTTATCCAGCAGCAACAACGTTGGGCACCGATTAACTGACACACACCTATTCACTATAATGAGTATGCGTTGGAACACTTTACCCCGAGTCATACTATAGCAGTGAATGCCATGCATGGGTTTACCTCACACACTGAATTTCATAATTTGACATCCAAATCACAGAAGAGTGGTGTTCGAAACTTTACGTAATTGCACTCCATGTCCTGCGAGCTACAGTAGAATACTTTAATAGAATGATAGTTATAGCACGTTCTCAGAAACAAATCGTATAGGTTCGAGGCTGTCAACCCAGAAATTTGTGATTTCACAGCCATAGTCACGTCACTGTATACAGTAGGTATGCAGAAGAAAATACTAGTAACTCTTTGCGGAAGAGCTGTGCCTAAATGTGTACAGTACAGTAAATTAATAAAAAGTGGGAAAAGCAGTGACAAGGCTGTGCATGATGTAGATCTACCAGTAAGTACAGTGCACCAGTGAAACTGTTGGTGTAGTACCGGTATACTACTATAATTATGGCATGGCCCATGCCACTACAATCTATTTGCAGTGGGCCGCAGTAGGCCAGTGCAACAGAACGCAATTCAGTAGCTGAGTGCAATGTGAACATCTATGACATGCAAGTAAACTGCCATACAGCACAATCGATTACTCTCAGCCCACATAAGTACAATGTAGGCCAATCAGTAGTATAGATACATAGAGCACACTCTACATCATACATAGTTAGCACCAAATCTATATTGTCGATGTACTTTGCAATGACGAAATGATGGCAAGCGTGCTTGATTCATCATAATACTGCCTTGAACTTGGTTGGAAGTTAGTTGGAAGTTCAGTGGTCGAGGTAAGCAGAGCTGCTCCAGCTTTCAGAATCCTGCATGAAAAAGGCAGAAAGCAAATGTAGGTATAATAGTAGCGAGCTGACGTAAAGAGCCTGTCTTTCAATACAATAATTCTATCCACTGCATGGACAGACCTGGTGCTTCATTCACATCTGTTTCTTGCTTTAGAAAACCTACTTCCTCCTTCTGCCATGTAGCTCATGACATACATTTTCTTTACGCCTTTTCAGCCGTGGTCGACTTTCGCCCCTCCTGTTTGATTGGCAATTGCAGTCAACCTGGGGAATATTGACCCTCGATTGTGAATGAGAAAAGTGTCGTTATTGGTGTATTGTTGTTACTCGCGAGGTTGGAAGTATGCAATCAAATGGTCACTAGATCTGAAGATTGTGTTGTTATTTGTGAGTTGTTCTGTAAACCCGAGGTACATTATTCACAAGGTGGATTGTACATGCTATGGGATGTAGAATAACTAACCAAACAAGAATGGTGTAACAATGATTTGAGTCCATATCCAATTGGATGAACCAAGAGCGCATGATCCATTCCAGAAAGGCGATTTCAGTGAGTCTTGAATTGTCAGCAGCATCATACTTCCATTGAGCTTTTTTTCTTTTTCGAAACGACCCTCTCTTTTCAATTCGAACGAAGGTCAACATACGATTACGGCAGGCATGCATGCACTGATCTTCACTGTATACATGTGCATGTATACTGTACTGTAGTCTGTACAGTCAACTAGTCGTGTTCCACTTGGCTTCCATAGGTGCAACTTGGCTTACGGTAAGTGTCACTACAAGTGCATAGTAGCCCCCCTCCGGGAGTGCGCGTGAACAGGAACTGTGAACTGGTAAAAGAATCATTCGACACCTTCGTTCGTTTCGATGGAGAAAGTTCATTTGGCAAATTGAGGCCTTCGTTTCACCCCTAGCCACAGGAGTGAAATTTTCACTCCTTGGCTGCCTGTTTGAGCCGTCCTTGTGGGTTTATTTATGCATGTCTGCATATAGACCTTATTCGATAAACGTCACAATCACGTGAACCGGGGTCCCGGGAACCAGGGAGCGGCAAGAGACCTGCACTCAGTGCACAGAGGACTTGGCGTGGGAACATAGGAGAAGAAAAATACCGGTATTTTACTACTCCCTTGTACGAACTGGGCCTTTCTTGCCACTTGTTTCACGTACGCGTGCCCCAGCTTACGACAAATCCCTGGAGGCGAGTCCAAAAATCATGTTATCGAATAAGGTCTATAGAATTGTTGATCTAGACGTTTGGGTTTAACAGAGCAAGCCTGTGATTAAGAGCTGCACAGATCACAGATCACGTAGAACTACCCAATATGGGGTCAAAACTCACAACGCGTTGGGTACTTTGGTCTCATGTCGTCTCCCCAGGTGCTATGAATCCCTGATGCACATGTATCTACATATACAATGTAACTGTAACTCTACCAATCTTGCGGACGATGACCCCCCCCCCCCCCGGCATACAGAAAGTTGCTATGTCCTGGCCCTCATACAGCATTGGGGAGGCACTGAATCACTTTTGCAAAAGGACTAGCCGAAAGTGGCATTACACATTTTCTATTCCCAGAAAAGCGGCGTTCCAGCCGAGTTTATCTTTTAATTTAATGGTTTTCTCGGTTGCGATTTCATACCCGACAACCATCCCGATTTAGCCGGGATCGTCCCGACATCGAGGGTGGTAATAGGCACCCAAAAGTGCATTAGTTCCATGCCTCACCGCGAGCTACATTTGTATACATTTTCATGCCTAGGTATGTCATTCGATCTCAGGTTTGCAAAGGTTGGCAGGTATGGGATTTGTAGAGTGACCAGTTCTGACTATTGCCACCTGCTGCGCAGAAGTGTCATTCCTACATCCTGGCTGCAAACCTACCTCCCCCCCCCCCCCCCCCACACACACCACCAACAATGTTGGATCCTATTTACAGGACCTCACTCTCTATGAAAGTGTAGCAGAGGCACTGCCAAAGTATAAAAACAACATTTGAAATACAAGCTCCATTGTGCATGCATGGAGGGCATGGGGAAGAGACGGAGAGGGTGAAAGTGAAGGAAATTTGTTCCGAAATCAAGAGAATCCGAGGAACCCTTGCTGCATTCTTCAGTACGATAACGTCAGTGGGTGCATCTCAGATGTGTTGTGTGCCCAGACATACAAGTAGCACTAACCTGAGCATGAGAGCTGCTTGTCATCGTGGTCAGGAAAACGAAAGGACGAACGAAGAATATTGCTGACCATGACGAACAACAGTGCATATCCAGACGACAGACGGCTTGCCAGAATCAGTCTGGTGCATCTTCAGGAATCTCCTTTCTTAATCGCATTCAGCAGTCAGCTTCGAGGTCAAGAGCGCGATGATATTTTCAGAAGGAATAATTTTCAATTTTTTTTAATTTTGGAGAAGAAGCTTCCTTTCTAAAAAAAAGCGTTCCTTGCTTTCACGCAAGGTGCCTTGCCGGACATGTCGTCGACAGCACAGTGTCGGCAGATCCACGTTTGTAGGCTGCAGACCCGGCAGACGTTTTGATCAGCCCGGCCTGGTGGTGAGATTTCGGACCCGGGAGTACTAAAAACTGCTCGCATCCCAGGGTGCTCAGTTTCGCTCTATCCGATCGAGTAAGGCTTCCAGAAAGGCCCTCAGGTGCGCGGCCTGCGGTGCCATAATATACCTCCTTGGTTGGATCGAAGTGGGACCTTCACCATTCGACTCAGCGTCCAAAACTCTACGGACCATGAAGTTTTGATTTTTGGGTGTAGTGCGGACATGGTCCCCACGGAAACGGTCGCTCAGGCACTTGCTGACTTTTTTGAATCTGTCTTGTTCTCGATTTGTGGCAGTGGAGCGTTTATTGATGGACAAGATCAAGTGGCAAGCATAAAACGTTCTTCAGACTTGCTCCAAAGCAAAGCTGTTCTTTCGTTTTCACCGACTGTGGAGTAGCCAAGGAGAATACAGATAGCCAACTATCTCTGACCAGGTACTGTGGTGCCTGTTGCGTCGACTCGACTTGCTCCCTGAAATTTTATTTGAGCGAGATATTTCACCACCGTAGCACCAAATCAAGTGGGACCCATCCGCTGGTAAATACTTTGTCTCCGTAGCCAATTCTCCCATCCTACACGATGTCAAGCGCTGCGGAGAACCTTCCTCCGGGAGTCCTTCGCAAAGTGGTGAAGGAAATCGGTGGCCTGCTGAAAGAACCGCCGGAGGACGTGAAGGTGCTGCCACTGGAGGAGAGAGTGACGGAAATCGAGGCGGTGATCACTGGTCCAGGTCAGTGTTCTGTTGTCTTATGTCCAAGTAGGTAGCGTTTGTAACCTATAGTCTATACGGTTAGGTTTGGGCTGCGTCAGTTCTATCAGTTGTGCCGAGCCATCCAATCACTCTTCCCTTTTTGGAATGAACTTAGAATTTAGTTGTGCTGTGATTTATGAAGCATTCCTTGCTTGTGTGATTCGAAAAACGCATCAACGGGGTGTACCAGCTTGCACTCTCCTTTTTCTCACATTTGTGTACGTACATAGACCCGCATACGTGCGCATGGATGCACACACACACGCGCGCACGTGCGCACGTACACACACACAGGTGCACGTGTACACACACATACAAAAACCCTGCTGGTTGTAGGAGAGTATTTATTTTCTACATTATCAATAGTACATAAACAAGAGTGTGCAACTCCGCAGCTGGTCTGGCCCATGGCGGAATTTTTTGTTGACGTCACATTTTCTAGTGATCACGAGCAATACCGTACGAGCGAGTCTGTTGCGGCGTGAACTCGGTATGCAGGGTTTCACTAAACTTGCTCAATGAGTACGCTAACAAGCTGTAGAAGCGGGAAACGAAGTTGTAATTTTTCGTTCCAGCCCTAGGCAAAACACAAACTCGCAATGAAGTTGAATGTCGACGTCCAGTGCATGCTTTGTGCGTGCTTTGTACTATATGCGTCATGGCCCATGGGTTCTGAAAAAGGTGACGTCATCAGTAAAATCCGCCGTGAACCAGACCAGCTGTGGAGTTGCACACTGTTGTTGACCGCTACATACTGTAAGGGGCCGTCCGTGAATATCGAACATTTTTCACGAAACGAATTATTTTAGTTTGGACCCAACGCCTCCCTCCCCCTCAGAACGTAAAAAATGTTGACATACATGTAATACATGTACATGCAAAAGTTGCAAGTGTGTCACTGCTCCTATGGTCGTGTACATGTATCAATATTTTTCTGAAACGAAATTGGTCAACCCCCTCCCACCCCATAACGAAATTATTTCGTTTCGTGAAAAAAGTTCGATATTTATGGACGACCCGTAAAACACGATATTTTCGGTGTAACTTTAATTTCGGTGATTTCGGTAGTGAAAACCAGGCACCTAGATTTAGATAACGCCTAAAAGGCGCCCGAGTATGCACTGTATGTGAAGGGTAGGCTGGTCACCTAATTCTACATTACACCTGAAACCGGGCAGGTCCCTGGCACCGAAATGTTACTACACCTGGAATTACATGTTTAACAGTACTCGTACTTTGGATATGCTTGAGCTACAGTACTGTCGGGTGTCGAAGAACAGAACAAACAGGCTAGATCCTCACCTAGTACAGCATATCAATGTACACACGATGACTCAAGTGTGCATAGATCATAGTACATGGAGATAAGAACGGCCTAGGCGACGAGGCTGACACCCCCCCCCCCCCCCCCCCCCCCCTGTACCATCCCTCCCTGTTCTTCGGAATCCGACATTAGTGTACAGCTAGTGCCAGACCGGCATGTTTGAGATATAAATGGCATGTTTGAGATATAAATGGCATGTTTCAGATACAAAGAGACATACCCTCTAACCCCATCATGTTTATCGAAATCAAAATGCCAGACACTGTGTAGGCGTTGATTATTTGGGTTGGCGGGGTGCCAGGGACGCCGGTGGGCGTTCACCCGTGACACATGACCTGCTCAGTGCGTGCTCAATGCGTGCTCAATGAGAACTCAATGGGTTCGCGTACAGGGCGGTTCAAGAACCGCGTTTCCGCTTCCGGAGGAGTGGTTGTTAGCTGAGGGAAATGGTCATGCTGATGACGAGCTTAGCGCAGGGTCCTGAGCTAGCTCTCTTGTTTTTATGTGAGGGCGCGTTCAGACTACTAAGAACCCCGTCAAACCGTGAATGGCGAAAACCGTGCAGGACATTCACACTACCGATAAACTGATGTCACTTGTGCAGCGCTCACCGCGGCACTGAGAAGGGATTTTCCCTACTCCCAGCCCGAGCACCTTTTTATACAGTAACACTGCCAGAATGCAGTTTCCATGGCAGCAGTACTGAGCAAAACATTTCCGCCGGCTAGGTGCCAATAACGTCACTTGATCAAATCACCTTGGAAACTTTCCCATTCCGTCACGTTTTATTGGTAGTCTGAATGCGCCCCTAGACCGATTGCTTTGCAGAGGTATCTATACTAAAAAACAGTTAGTTTTTTTTAAGAGTTTGAACGCTTCAAAGCAGCCGTGTACACTCTGCTCTGTCTCAACTGGCATATCTCTTGACTGTGAAAGTATCTCCTTTGCCAAATATTCTGGCCAGGAGGCCCGTAACCCAGCATGAGTATGAACAATCGAACTGCAAACAGCCAAGATAAGCCGGGAAGTGTGCTAGAAGAAGCAGTGAAAGGTGATGCGAAATGCGTCAGCTAGTGTGTAGGTGTGGCGAGTAGGATAACTTAGCTGGTGAAGTGTCAGGCGCGTAACACCGCTGTTGGAGGTGGTCCGGCCAGAGAGGGGTCGGGTGTGGGGGTCTCTTGCGGGAAAAGTTTGAAATATGGGTGCAAAGTCCTGCATTCTGGGCACTTTTGATATTGTGTTAAAAAAAGTGATCCGGCCAAACCCGGACCGGTTGCTATGCCCCTGACTGTGCTGTGTGAAAGTGAGTGAAAGAAGCCCTCAGCTGTGTTGGTGTGTGGACATGTGATTGAAGTGTGATAATGTGAAGCTGGAGCCACACGGGGAAATGTGAAGATAAACTAGTTGCAAAGTGCGGCACGCCTGAAAGCTACCACACACCTCATAGTAGCAAGTATTGCTGTGCAATCGCATGCAATTTCAAAGCCTATCACCACAGTGCAACACTTCACACTACACCTAGCAGTCTTCAGTCTCAGTCAGACACCACCTGCTGAGAGTGAACATTGCTTTGTGTCTGTGCGAGATGATTTACCAACGAACGCCCTGCGCTGAGAACTGTTGCAGCGGTGATGGGCGGGAAGATGTCGTTACTGTTCGCCAGCTCTCTACTTCCTCTTCACGCTCACCCCCTAGCTGACACACTTCTCAGCATCTGTCACTGTTTTCTCTTACACGTGCTGTCTAC